AGGGAGACAGATGGTTTTCAATTTAGTTCAGGCATGGGTAAGGAGTGTGAGCATCCTTAAAAAAAAAGAAAAGAAACTTCTCCCTAGAGATGATCTCATGGATGGATCCCTGCGGGGTTGTGGGTCCCCCCAAAAAAGGTATTTGGGGGCAACTAGGAGCTCTTCTCGGGCCTCTGGAGATGAGTGGCCCTTCTGTTAATCAAGTTACCCTTCTTACCTTGCCACTCCCTTCCATTCTGCCATCCTAGAGGAACAACGTCCAAGTTCCAGCTGCACAGCACAAGCACCCGCAGGGTTTGCAGAAGACTCCCCTCAAGGGGGCAGGCAGGGCCATGGCTTTGACCACACTGGGAGGGGCTGTCTCCACCCACCATCCCCATTACCCCCCCTGGTTCACACGACTTGGCCTGGAGTTCCTCTTCCTTCGAGGCTCACCCGCTATGGGCCAGCTGTGACTCCAGGAATGAGGAGCAAATGGTGCCAGGTTGGGACACTGCTCAAGAGGACAGCCCCAGGTGTGTCTGCTCACTGGCACTGGCAAGGTGACCTGACGTCCCTGGTTTTGGCCGGCAGCCTGGACGCCCCTGGGCTCAGCAGGAATGCCTGAGGACCCAGACACAGTCACACAGTCACTCTGCAAGGCACATAGCTGCAGGGTGTACACACCCGGCCTGTTCTCACCCTTTCTCTTCTCGCATACCTTCCAGCGCATCTACACACACAGGAGTCTGGGAGTCCTGGAGTCCTGGTCACTCTCCAGCCTCACACTAGGCAGCCAGAAAGACCCTGAAGTCTTGGTGCTGGGGTGGGAATGTGGAAATGGGGAGGGGCTCCGTGGTGAATCCAACCCCATCTCCATCCTTCCTCCACTGTTTCTCATCGCAAAGACATTTGAGTCTCTCTTTTGGACTCTTTACAGGATGTGGCTGCCCCCTTATGCTTCTGCTTTTGAGTAGCTGAGTGTTCTCTCCCTAGATCTGCCTGGCTCTGTTTCAACATTCCTTGGTGGCCCCCATCACCATTTGATTTTCGCCCCCATCACCATCTGACCCAATCCCCCACTCCCCGCCCCACCCCAGGACTGGTGCTGCATTCCCTTGAGATGCACCTTAAGCCAGGGACGGAGGGTCCAGACCTAAGTCTTCACTAAGCCTGGAGTCGGGGAGGGATACAGGGGGGGACAAAGACACTGACTGGATACATTTTGAGCTGCACCAACTCCCCACTGCCCTCTGTAATTCAGTACTTTCATATCTGAACAGACAGCAAATTTCCTTTCTCTGGCCCAGCTAGCTGGACTGTCTCGCTCCATTTCACCCTAGAGGGCATGGAACCTGGTTAAGAACATATGAAGGGCAATGGGATTCCAGACCCTGAATTCTACACTTTAGGCCCAGAGCAGACCTCTGGCTTCCACGGCTTCCCTGGGCAGGGTGGGGTGGAGTGAGAGGAGGTAGACAAGAGAAATACTGGATGCCTACAGAAGGGCCTCCAGCTACCCACCATGGTCAGTGCAAATATTAAGTCTGGTTAGCTGCTCTGGTTGGAGCAGCTCAAACTAGCTTGAGGAGGTTTATTCAGTGGTAGAGTAGCTTCTTGGATTTTTCAGAATGTCTGCATAGTTTTCCCAACCCTACTTAAATAAATATTTCCCAGGTTACTGTCCAAGGAAGAGTGAGAGAAGTTGCAGCAAGTTGCCGGAGGGGAGGGGGGTGGGGGTGGGGGAGGTGGAGAGAACTCAATTGGCCTTATGTAAATAAAGCCTTGAAACTGGTACCCTGCCCCCTACTGGCACTTCTTTGCAAATTCTGGTGACCCACCTGGACAGACGGTGGTGTGTGTGTGTGTGTGTGTGTGTGTGTGTGTGTGTGTGTGTGGTATCTTGCTGGGATCTTGGATCAGTCAGTTCTTCAGGTTGGGAATCATTTTTTTCTAAGACCAAGTGGCTATGTGTGGAGGCCTTCCCAGAAAGCCCCTCCAGGCTTGGCTCAAAGCTGGCTTCTGATTTCTCAGGCCTCTCTTGGGCAGAGACAGGAGCCAGTAACTAGCTATAGATTTTCAGGATTGTGGAAGGAGGGAGTGATGTTTGTTCTAGCCAGGTGCTGATGGCTCATGCCTGTAATCATAGTCATTCAAGAGGCTAAGATCTGAGGATAGTGGTTGGAAGCCAACCCTGGGTGGGAAAGTCTGTGAATCTTTAATCTCCAAAGTGGTAGATCGCTAGCCTTGAGCAGAAAAGTCCAGGGACAGTGCCCAGGCCCTGAGTTCAAGCCCCACAAGTGACAAAAAAAAATGTGCTCAGAAAGATTCCATTGTGCACATGTATCCATGGGGAAGAGTACCTGAGGACAAACGCCACAAAGGACTGAGAGTCTGGGTATGCTTGCTTTTGTGAATAGTTCTGGGAATGCAAGTATGAACATGTGTGTTTCTCTGATTGGCCACTATGTATGAAAAGTTTTGGTACTACCCAACACTAATGGAATGTAACAGGATCTCAATAATTGGGAATCGAATTAATGCTAAATGTGTATGCTTGTATCCACATGACAGTTGATATACAGCCTCATTTCTTGTGGAGGTGGTGTTGCAAATGTGGGTGGGGGGTAAAGGGGTAATGTAGGATAAAGAGCTTACTGTGTTAACCTCATCCTCAGGAGTCTGTTGGGGAAGAGTGGTAAGCTGAGTTGATGTGGTGGCCTTGTGATGCTTGAGTCTCCAGACCTTCCAGGCAGTAGCCCGCTCTTCTCTCTTCAATCAGTCAGAGCTGAGCTGCTTGGGCCCTACAAGTACAGACTAGTTTTCTTGGGTGCATCTGAGCTGTCTTCTGATAGGAGAAGCTTGGGAATTTTTCTTGGGGGGCTTAAGTGGTCTGCATGCAGACCCAGAGGAAGGACTCCAAAGAATCCCAGCGTCCAGCGATTCTCAATCCCAGGTCTGCTCCGATGTTTAACCTCCTGCCACAGGGCCATCACTCAGCTGCCTGGGTTCTTGAGGGATGAAATCCTTGATACTTATTAAGTCCGAGGAGGGAGAAGAGCATCTGAGTTTTCACCGATTTATCAGGAAAGTGCTGTTTTGCCCGAAAGGTAAAGTCCCAACAGATTCCAAAAGAGGAAGCTTCTGCCCACCACATCCACCCCAGTCCCCAGCCCGGGCTCATCAGGCAGGATCTTCATGGTCCTGGCCACCAAGAAGGTACAAATCCAGAAGCTACAGCTATTGTGACCTGATATCCGAAAAGCCTCAACTTTCTCCTCCAAGTCCTGCCTCGGTGCTGGCAGGATCAGCTTGGACGGGTGGGTTAAAAAGAGGGCCCACAGGGCAGGCCATGCTGTAGATTAATTTACAGCCAGAGGAGCGAGCAAGCACCTGCAGCTCCGTGCTGTGAGCTAAGTCGCCCCTTGGCCCGACCCTTCTAGCCGGGACACCGGGGATCCCATCTACAACGCACACCCGCCGCCTCCACTCCTTCCTTAACCTTAACCCCCAGGCCAAACGGACCAGAGCACTGCGCTGGAGACCTTTGCTGCACCTACGCCTGCTTAGGGCTCAGCAGCTGCCCCACAGGCGAATCTGCCCCAGGGTCTGTCTTCCCAGACCCCAGGACAGCGATCACCACCGCCTACGGGTCTGCCAGAGAGAGAGACTCTCCACGGCCGGATTTGTTTCCCAGCCTCCACGCCTGCGAACGCACGAAGCAGCAGCGCCCCGCACTGCGCACTATCACTGTGCACAATCCCGGAGGGGAACCAAGTCCCGCAGGAGATCTGCACCGGGAGAAGGCTGCCTTCTCCTCCCTCCTGCAAGAAGTTTCCCTAGGACCAGGGACTGAGGTCTTCGAGGAAAGTTTTAAGAGTTTCTATCCCTTCACCTTTGCAAGCGTTGTGGGGAGGCGTCTCGGGAATATCCCACCACGTCGGGTAAATGAGGCGCAGCTTCACTCCAGGCCCGAAGGCCGTTGTGGCATATATACATATATATATATATATATTTATGATTCTAATTTTATTATAAAATAAAAGCAGAAATATCTCTCGAAGAACATTCACATGAGGGTATAAGGGAAACGGCAAGTCTGCAGCTCGGGACCTGCGCTCAGCGGAGCATTGCAGCCACGAGGAAGAGGACAGAGCGGCTCAGTGGCCCCTAGAGAGGTGGGGCTGGGGCGAGAGGAAAGGAGAGGAGAGGAGAAGGTGAGCAAGAGCAACCGCAGCAGGCGTCCTTTGGGGGCTCTGGGACGCTGTCCTTTCTGGTTCCCTTAAGATACCAGGTGGAAAAGCTGTCACCTCTGCTCACCACTGACCAGGAGGGGAGTCCCCAGGGAGAGCCTTTGGAGATGGCCTAGGTTCATCACCACGGCTTTTTCCCTCACTCCGATTCCTGGAAAGTAAGGGTTGGGAAAGGGCAAATCAAGAGTACAGAAAGAGAGGCTGGGCTAGGATTCAAGCCATGGGCATTAGGAAAGCGGGAAGGAGAGAGGGAAGGAGGAAGAGAGCAAGGGGGGGGGGAGAAAGAGAGAGAGGAGGAGGAAAGAGAGGAGAAAAAAAAAGCCATCAATCTAGATCAATCTAGAAGGGAACAGCAAAGGGAAAGCAAAAAAGGAGAGAAAAATGAAAGGAAAGGAAAGAAAAGAAAGGAAGGAAAGGAAAAGAGGAAAGGGGAAAGCAAGAGAAGGGGAAAACAGAAAGGGAGAGAGCAGGAGGAAAACGAGAACGGTGTATAATTTATTCCCTTGCCATATTCAGGACGGGGTGCCTGGCCTTCAAAAGATCCTAAAAGCAACTTGTTGGAGATAAATCTGTAGAAAGGACCCTTACACACAATTGACCGCTTTGCCCAGGTCGTACCCCTTCGTCCTTAGTTCTGTCCGCCCCAGAGAGCGGGTCTTTCAGTACCTGGTGGGGCCGCGGGCCTGGGGCGCCCTCGCAGCACCGCCTCTGCCTCTCTCGGTCCCCGCGCCAAGCCTCGGTGGCGAGCCCGTGGAGGCGAGCAGAATTCTAGGAACCCAGGTCCACGAGGTTGGCCGACATGGGGTTGAGGATGGAGTCCTGCAGGCCGTGGTGGTGCTGCAGCGGATCTGCGCCGCCTCCGCCAGGCACTGGCACTGGCACGGGCACCGGCACCGCGCTGGGGCCGGGAGGGTGCCCCAGGCTGTGCAGGGAGGGCAGCCCCGGTGGCGGCGGGCTAAGCAACAGCGCAGGGCTGGAGGACGAGTGGTCTGGAGTCCCCGACGGCGTCTTCTCGTCCTCCGAGCTGCCTAACACCGACTTGCCGCTGCCATTGAGCGAGGAAGCCAACGGGTTGTGGCTGTTGGAACTGGAGTTCTCGCTGTTTTCCCTGCAGGTGCAGGAGCAAAACAGCGAGGTCAGCGGAGAAATCGAGGCCACTCAGGACAACCTCGCCGGGAGCCAAACCCTGTCGCCCATCTAGAAAGACAGAACTTCTGTGTTGCTTTCGAGTGTTTTCGATTCCCAGCCTTTTTAGTCTGCTTTCTGGCAGACTAAACACAGTGCGCCCCCTCCCCCCATTTCTCTCTGGTCACTGTCCTTACACTATGCCCTATACCCCAGTTCATGCTCTCCATCTCAGGACCAACTATCTTTCAAACACTTGCATTTCCTGCCCTTTTTTTAGGAGCAGAAACAAAGGAGTAAAGTACTAAGTTGAGTGGTAGGCCCAGAGGAAAGGAAGATATCTTGGTTTTCAGATGGCTCTAGATTCTTTGACCTTGGTTTTCCAAGTAGAAGTGGGGACAGCATGATGAGAGACCCTAGATCCCAGGTTGAGAGGCTGACATGAAGTTACATATCTCACAGGCCTTGATTTCTCTTTGCTTTTTTTTCTCCTGCCTGAGCACAGAGGTGCTTAAGGGCCCTCTCTTTTACACTTCATAAAGTAGGCCCTGTGGGAATTCTCTTTGGCTGGACCTAAGAGGCTTTAAGATTGGAGGACCCTCTTTGTCTGGTGGCATAGTAGATTCTTCAACCAGGGGACAGGAAGCTAGGGCTTGGCTAGCCCCTGGGAGAAGAATGAAGGAGAGGAAGAGCTTGTTATTAGTGACCTTAGACTTTCCCATCTTCACAGAAACTAGAGCTCTCACCTTGGGCCTAGCCAGAGAACTAAATTCTTCAGAAGTCTGGTAAAGGGAACCCAGCACAGAGAGGCCACCGCCTGCCCTGCCTTTGCCAACAAACCCTGGTATAAATAATATCCCAGGTATGAGTGTTTGAAATGCTGGGTAGACACCCCCTCCCCAAAGGCTCCCCCTTCCCAAAGGCTTTTCTTTGGAGGAAATTCACTATGGACACTCCAAGCTCAAGGCCTCAAACAGCAAGGTCCAATCTGCAGCATCTTCATCTACTTCTACTCCCAACCCGGACCGGATCATTCAAACTCTAGACTGAAGACACTCCACTCCACAAAACTCAGGTGTCCTGTTTTGCAGTTACCCACAGCTAGATTTTGTTCCCATAACAGAATTCTCTTCCATTCCCCAGTGGAGATTTGGAGTTCGAAGGGCTACAGGGCAGGCAGTCACCAGAGACAACTTTTGGCTAGTTCAGGAAGTCCTGATTTCCCTGAGGACTTACAACTTTCAACCCATTTTCCCATCTCAGCTCTTTGCTGATTTATCGATCTACCCACCTAAGAGGGCAGGGCTGGAGAAAAAGAGAGGTCAAGGGCCCAGCACACTAGGATGCAAAATACTACAGGGTTGCGTAGGGCAGAAGAGTGGGCAAATGTCTGTTTTCTCTTCCAGCGCAGATAACTTCCTCCCCTACCTCCACTAATAACTCCTTTCTATGAAGGGCTCGCTCTCAAAAAAAAAAAACTCACATCCAGACTAGGAAATTTCTTGCCAAGGCCCTTCTCCATGTAGGCCATCCTAGCAAAGTTCCAACTTCAATCGGACCCCTAACTGATATGTTAGAGCCCGCAGTTAGTAAGGCCGAGGAGAAGATAGGTAGAAGCAAAACCAACCAGAAATCCTTAACTTCTGCCAGGGCCCTAAACCCGTCTTCAATTATACTGTCCTTCGTGTTTGGCAGAAAGAGAAGGCTTGGCCTAATGTGCCTACTTTACAGGGGATTCAGGCCCGAAGCTTGCCGTTTCTCCACTTTTGCCCACAAACAACCAGAGAGCACGGCTGCTAACTTCCCGCATTATTTTGCCCGCTTTAGACAAAACCCTGCCTGCCCGATCTTTAGGAAAATGTAAACATCTTCCTGGGCTAGGCTTGTAGCTGGGCTGTCGGTGAAACTGGAGGATCCAGTTTAAACCTCTCCTGGGGATGGACAGACAGACAAACAGACACCCCTATCCTCCTCTCTCTTGCGCCCAGGGAAGCCGGTGCCGCAGCTCTACTTACTCGTACCTTTCCTTGGCCTCAGCCGCTCGGTCTCGCTGCCTCCGGTTCTTGAACCAGTTGCTGACCTGCGTGGTGGTGAGGCCGGTGGCCTCGGCCAGCTCACGCTTCTCACGTGGTGACGGGTAGGGGTTGTGCGCGTACCACTCGCGCAGCACGCTGCGACTCTTCTCCTTGAAGCAGTAACTGGTCTCCTCGCCGTCCCAGATGGAGCGCGGCAGCGGGAACTTGCGGCGCACTCGGTACTTGCCCACAGCACCCAGGGGCCGGCCGCGCAGTTTCTCAGCCTCGATGTAGTGCGCCTTGAGCCACAGCTGCTGAAGCTTGGCGTGGTTGTGCGGCGAGAACTGGTGGCTCTCCAGGATCTTGTAGAGCTCTCGGAAGTTCCCCCGATGGAAGGCCACCACGGCCTTGGCCTTGAGCACGCTTTCATTCTTGTGGAGGTGCTCGCAGGCGGGCAGCGACCACAAGAAGCGACCCAGCCGCTCGATGTTGCCGCCCTGCTGCAGCACCTCGCACACGCACGCCACTTGCTCCTGCGTGAAGCCGAAGGTGGGCAGCATGGACATGGTGCCTGCTGAGCCCCCGCCCGCCTGCGCGCACCCTCACCGCGCCTCGCGGTCCCGCATGGGCGCCTCCCCGCCAGCCGTCCCGGCCGAGAGGCAG